TCATTTCCAGCCAAATTATTTTCCAAAACTCATTTGGGTATAATAAAACACTATCAATACAGCTGAGGAATCACTACTGTATACTAATTAATATTATCTTGCGTAGGCATTTGACTTTCAGCATTGTGTGACATTCAGTTCCAAGTGTTCAAATCGGCGTCACTGCAAATATATTTACATCTTCACGAAATGCGTGAAAAAAATCCCGCCAAAACAAGAAGAATTTGATTCATTGCAATTCTTCACGTACGAAGAATGAACACTCTCACTTATCCGTTTGCAAGACCGTCTCTGTATACCTGTTTAGAATCTGTTAACGCTCTCGTTCCTGGTGAGAACTCGTATGTTGTAGAGTCGTAATTTCGCTTTGGAGGGTGTTATTTGGAAGCTACCTCACGCGCCCCTTCCTAAATCTTTTATGACACGTCTGATTCGGATTGCATTAATCAGCGTTATTAACTTTCAACAAGAGCTCTTTTACTGACGCAAAAATTCTTTGTTTTCTCAGGAGAGCCCTCGGGGCGTGAGGCAGGGGAGGTAATCAGGCATGGTAAAATGTAACCACAGGAAGCTGGCCAGCACATTTTCTTCTCGAAATTCGTGAATGCCCACTTCTAGGTGATGACAGGGGAGATGAATATTAATACCTGTAAGGCACATTCCACAGCAATTTAATCAAGTCGTTCTCCTCTCCTTCTCCCTACTACTCTCTTTCTCTACATTATCCCCAAGACGTAAACACAGGAATCTGGGCAACACTTGTTATCATCTTTTTGAAATTTGGAAATACCCATCTCTAGATGACAAAAAGCCAGATTATCAGATGAATAATAGCTGTGATGCAAGTTCCATGGCAATCTAGTCATCATTTTCTTCTCCACCTCCTCATCACCTCCTCCTCTTTTTTCTTCTCTTCTCCGTTGATTACTTCTTCCCCTTCTTCTTGTTCTTCTTGCTCATCTTCTTGCTGTTGTTCTTCTTCACTTTCAAGTTCATTTCCTTGTTCTTGTTCTTGTTCTTGCACTTTTTCTTGTTCGTGTTATTCTTCTGCTGTCTCTCCGCTAAATTCTATTCAATTTCCATTTCCTATGTTCACTGTTCACCAGCTCGTCTAAATGCCCTCTACAACAAAACTTTTAACGAGAGCATTCTGCAGTGCTAACAACTTCCTTGTCGATATCGGCCGGAATGCCCACATCATTAGCAAAGGCCTGGGTGAACCGGGATTTGGGTGCCAAAGGACATGTTGCGTAATGCGAGTATGTTTTGGCGGGCATGTACAATGCAAGTAAATACGGAATGGATCTGAGCGATGTCTGCATAGAAAGTAAATGTGCTCTTGCTGTGGTTTGAAACATCTATTTCATCGAACTACGTGACAGGAGACAGGAGTTGGTCCCTGTTCTTCGCTTGCGGCTAAGTGATTCGTTCTTGATCTATTTTGAATGGTTTTGGGACAAAACTCATTAATTTACACAAAAATGTCATAAATACATAAATAAATGAATGAATAAATAAATAATTACACCTGGTGTTACATGTATTTTGTTCGAGACAAAACTGAGTCGTTGCAGATTATCAAATTGGTTACAGCGCATTGAAAACAAAATACAAGTATTAGTATCTAATTCAGAACGATCCTGGTCACGATTCCAAGTGAAAAATAATATAACCTTTTGAAATATTGGAGACGATCCTTTTAGTCTCAAAGCCCTAAATATGCACTACAGAGTTTTTGATAAATTATAGACTATCACCCATCCGATAGCCTGTCAACCACCTTCATCCTCTGTTTAATCCGAGAGCAAACTTAACTCGAAATTTTAAAAAGCTTCCGTGTAAGTCCCAGAAACAGCTACCACTTTCCTAATATGACTTTTCCATTCGTCTCTTCGCCCCCAATAGGGCTTAAAGTGGACAGAATTAAGCTGTGAATGACTCTTTTAACTCTTCACTTAATCCACACGATAAGACCTGTCTCATACAGCTCGTTCTAAATTTCGCATTTCGATGAACCTCTTACGATTATTGCTGCTACGGACGACCATACCCAAAGCTAAGTTTCTCGAAAAAACGAATCTTCCTCACGAGGAGCCAGTATGTCTTCTGAGCTCGTAAACAAAGCGCATCCAGTTCACCACAGACGCCTGGGTCGATTAGAGGTAAGATTTTCCAGTAACTTGGTTTTGGAAACTATTACCAAGGTAGCAGTGCAGAATAGTAGGTTTGATAGTTTATTTCTGATAGAGTTAATGGCGAAGGGCCTCTGTAAAGAAGGGAGTGCGTCTTTCTGCCTCTCTCTCTTTCTCTCTCTCCCTCTCTATCTACCTCTCCCCCCCTCTCTCTCTCTCTCTCTCGCTGCCCCCCCCCTCTCTCTCTTTCTCTCTCTCTCTCTCTCTCTCTCTCTCTCTCTCTCTCCCCCCCTCTCTCTCTCACACACACGCACACACACACAAACACACACACAAATATACATACATACCCCCTTCACACACACTCCCACACAAGCACACACTTCCACTCTCTCTCTCTCTCTCTTAAACCCATGTTTTCACCAACCTGTTTAAGCAAATTTTAAAAAATACATACAAGCACGTGGGCTGTATTGATAGACTGTAGAATATATAATCATTTTGTTGCTCACGTTGTTTGCCGGGCAATGACTTTCATATATCTTGCATATATATTTATTTATTGGATGGGCACACAAACATAATAATATGCTCTCTTCTCCAAAGAGGGGTAATAGAAGCCGTCTATCCCGAGTCATTCAAAAATGATAAAGCTATGTTTGTCCATGAAATCCTCATCATAATAATAGGGAAAAACAGTTATTGCTCCTTTGCTTAACGTATTTCCCCTTTTGCAGCATGTTTCTCGTCGAAGATAATAAATTTATTAGAGAGCGTACTTGACAGGCGGACAGGAGAAATTACGATATAACGTCTTAGGATTCTTTATAATAGCTTCTTTTTTTTTTCACATACCTTATCAAAGCTCAAATAGTTGATGACGTCATCCCCAGATCTGAACGCGCAACGTGGACCAAATGGAGGGATTGCAGTAGCGTTGGTGGGTACTGTCTGATTAGGGCAAGCTGTTTGAAATGGAAAAAGTACATTCCAGAGATAAAGAATATAATGATATTATACAAATACAGCGACCCCCAGCCCTCAGCCTCCACACCAAACGCCTTTAAAAAAGGTATTTCAAAATATAAAGAATTTATTGCAGGAGTTATGGCGGTAGATCATGATTACGAGTAACCTTGCAAAGTGGTAATCACGAATTTCAACGGTTCATAGCGCTGCGTGGTTTATTTCGCAGGAAGTGCATTGCTGAAACAACCCGATGCATGGTATTTAAAAAAACCTCTTTGATCTCCTGAAAGTTAGTGTGGAGATCCATTCAGACTCCAAGCCCTAAATTTAATTTCAGCTAAGCTTTCCTGTTCTCCAATAATAAGTATTAGTATCATCTCGTTGTCTATGATTCTGCTTTTATCGTAACTTCTAGTGGATCTAAATTCTTGAAACTTTGGGGAGCTTATAGTCCTTACTTTGCTATAAATATCAATGTATCCTTTACCTGATACCACAATTTTTGGTGTGTGTGTGTCTGTGTGCGCGCGCGCGCGCGCGCGCGTGTGTGTGTGTGTGTG